AGGTGGTGACAAAATTGATAATGACTAAAAAGTGAATATGAAAAAAAAAATCATACTCGAAATGTTTGAATAATGAATATTTTGATGTTGAATAAACAAAGCTTATTTAACATACTTAGCGCAATCTGTTTTCATGTTGCACATATAATATTTATAATCCTTTGATACAAATATAAAAGTCAAGGGAATTTATTTGACTGTTAAATACAGTCATTATATTGTAGAGACTATTTTTGATGAAAAACTAAAAAAGATTGCAATAAAAACCATTCTTTAGACAACTTTCAACATCAACATAATCAAATATATAGATATTGATAACAGAACACTCTAGTCATTCATTGGCCATGAGTCAACTCACCTTTTTGCAGCCAGCAATTATTTTTTGAGTCTTTTTTTATCAAACCTTTTTCTACTAAAATACAAAACTCTGCTTATCTTTGTTTCAGATTTCTGTTCTATGTACTTATGAATCTTATGTTTTGTCGTATTAGATATTATGAGTGTAGAGGTGTATAGTGAATGTCGTATTCAATTGAGTTCAATCAATGGTCAAAACATAGATTTCGATCGATGTCTCATAGAATTGCGTCAATACGATATCGGTGATTATGCTTTACGAGCTATTGATTTGAATAACCATAAATCAGTAAGAATACATTATGAAACAAACATAATTTATTATTTTTTGATTGTATAGGAAATTTTCAATTGTCCTCTTGTTCGCCGTAATCAGTATATTTTTGCACCATCAATCAAACAACCTGATATGATCAATATAACAAATAGTACATGCCGATTATGGTTAAATAAAAACTCACGTGATACATTTCATGAAGTAATGCGGATATGTCTTGAGGAATTTTTAATTGTTAAAGATAATGATAATAATCTTTCGTCACAACAGCAGAATCAACAAAAGTCAAAAGCATTGTTAAGCGAACTATCTACACAAGAAGATGAACCCTATTATCGAAATGAGGAGCCATTTGATTGTATTACTTGTATGGAGACAATTGCAAAAGATGAAGGAATCTTATTCCATAATTGTCTTCATCCAATTTGCAAAAAGTGTCTTTTGAGCATGATTGCAACAAGCTCAGAGCCAATAATTAAATGTCCACATGACGATTGCACTGCACTTATAACAGAACGCGAGCTTCGAGGTGTAAGAATCAAACACATTTCTTGACGATTTTCTCAAAATTTTCCTATATTTCAGGTAGCTAAAGATCTAAAAGCAGATCAAAAAGTGGTCGATAGGCTGAATGATGTTGGCATGCGTTTTGTTGAGAGTCGTAATAAAACATTTCATTGTATTACACCTGATTGTACTCATTGGTGGTTCATCGAACCAGAAGAAACTAACAATATAATATTTTGTAATGTAATTTTCTTCTCTCATCGTAAGGAGAAAAGTTTTCAAATACTGAAGATGAGCATCAAAAAAATAAGGATAAATCCTCCGTTTTTTTTCTAACAGTAAATAAAAAACTCAAGATTATTTCATTAGTGTAATTCAAGTCAAAGATGAATTGTTTCTAAATTCTTTTCGAGAACTTTTGCATTCATTTGTCATAGGGCTGTAAACATTGGATTTGCATAACATGTTCGGCAATACACGAAGGTCAAACCTGTAAGTGTATTCAGTTTGAAACTAGTTAGTCTATTCGTTTATTTCATATGTAGGTAGTGAATATCAAGATATGAAACTACGAGAAACAAATGATACTAATGTTCGTAAAGACACAGAACATTTAGAAGTAAATAGAAAAACAAAATATTTATATTTATTATTTGTTGTTTATTTTGTATAAAGGCAATGATAAAAAATAAAGAAGTCATGTATTGGTATGAACTCTTTATTATCGAATTAATTCAAAGTACTCATGAAAATGTGACATTTTGTTTTTGTTCATTAGTCCTGGTTGTCGTATTATAATCCAAAAAATATCTGGTTGTGATTGGATTCAATGTAGTCAATGCAAAATAGAAATTTGTGTTAGTTAAATCATCATTGTCTATAATATTATACTCATTTTGTTTTTCTTCATTCTTTTGAACAGTGGCCAACGCAAGGTCCTCGTTGGGGTCCGAAAGGACATGGTGATACGTCAGGAGGTTGTCGATGTCGTGTTGATAATGGAAAACTTTGTGTACCAAATTGTCAAAACTGTCATTAATAGATTACTTCAATCTTATAAACTCATTCATGTTTATTTTTCATTATTTTTAATCAAGATTTTTGTTAGAAATATGTGATTTGAAAACGATCAATCAGTATAATACTAATGATGATAAATTCCAAAATATTCTTACGGAAATAAAATGACACTTAATCAAGATTACTTGTAATGATTACACTGAATAAAAAATTTCCATTCACATATGACGATAAATCTAATAGCTCTTTATATCCAATACGACATATTTACCATTAATCATAGCATTTTTAAAATCGTGAAAGTATTGCTTTTCACTAAAAATAGTTTGCCAGATTTAAAATGATTAAAAATCATAATAGAATATCTTTTTTTTCTTTGCACACTTATTCAACTATATACACCTCGACATTTTATTCCAAATTATTCACTTTGAATTATTTTCAATAAAAAACCTTAGCTTTAGATCAAAATCAATATTCTTGGATTTATTCCTAACGAGGAAAGTATTCGCGAACTAATACTAGCCATTTAGCCTCATATTTCATTCATAAGAAGGTCTCAATAAGACTAGAAAAATACTTAAAGAGATCATGTCCATGAGTTTCTTGAGTCGATTTATGACTATTTTATTGAATTTTCGATCTAGCTTTCAGTATTGTCAAAAAAGTAATGGAATGTCAATCCGAAGTATCACCCATACATAATTCAAATGATTAGTAGAAAATTTTAAAGGATTCAGCCGATAAGAATGTTCCTTTATTGACATATTGGATCTCCAAAATAATGGTCGTTTGTCACAGATATCCTACAAAAACCTATACTCATCAGATCAATATATATAGGCAACATTTCTGGGTGGGTACCCACCAACACTCTCATTTTGTATCCCTTAAAAAGTTCTATGTGCACTGAAAAAATGACACATTCATAGTCGATTGTGGATGGGATCAAATGAATGTTACTATACTATTGCATGCAGAAATGAGTCCCCTGTCGTTTGATGAAGATCAACATATAGAACATGAAGATTATATTACTCATATTGATTCATCAGCAAATTCACCAACATTATTTTTTGCAACAATAAAGTAATTCAAATTAAATCATTTTAATCAATTAATTTGTTTTTTTTTTTGTTTAGACGTGTTGTTTTCTTAGTTGGAAATGAACCAATACCAAATCAATATAAAATTGAATGTGATATTAATTATAAAGATATTAAAGGTTCACCAACTGTTAAATTTGATCTGAATTTTATTGAAATTACTATAAAAGTAATTTTCGAATATCTTTTTAAGACTTTTCCAGAAAAATTCGATTTTAGGAAACAAATGCTATTTGAATAACTAAAAAAGATGGTTCATATGTTAAAGTTGTTCCTTATCAAAGTGTTAGAGAAGCAAAAGTAAGTTTTATTTATTTATTTCCGAAAAGTTTTATTTGATTTTCTCTTTATTGTATATTGTTGATAAAATCATTGAAACAACAACTGTATTGAAACTTTAATTTGTTATTAAAAAAATCAAAGACTTTTTTTATTATTTAATCTTTAATGTATGTATATTAGTTTCTTTTTCTTCATATTGCTATTCTTCAAACATTCTCTAATCTTATTCAAGCGATCATATCTTTCGATTAAATTATTTTTTCTTAAAAACAAAACTAATGTTCATATTGAGATGATTTTATTGAATTATTCTAAAATAGTTTGAACTTTCTGTAGAATTTTTCAATTCATAATCAGTATTTGTTGTTATGAGTATGAGACTTCCTTCAAAAATGAAAATTTTATCTTGACAAGATCATAATAAAAATATCGACGAAGTTGAGATTAAAAAAACAACTATGCATTGAATTTATTTGTTTTGAAATAAAAAAATCTCATATCAGAAATGTAAAAAGTCAGTTTCATAATCTATTAGATGAAGAACTTGCCTTTTATAAACAGCTGTTTAATACTTCTGATTCACGACGCTCATTTCAAGTATTTACGTCCTACAGTCGAAGCCGTGAAAAAGCTGACGAATTCTGCAAGGTATTGTTTCTTTTGGCAATGCGCAGAGGATTTATGTCTGATGTAAGTCCATACTCCGAATGTTTTCTATTCTTGCTTCATTTTAACAGAATAATTAATACTAAAGAAAAATACATAGATTTTATTGAAAGAAGACTTCTTTTTTTCTTGAAATACAAATGAGAACAAAAAAAAAGCATTAGAGACCAAACATAAACTTAATTAATCAGAACGAAAAAACATTATATAATTTAACTGAGACAAGCTTCTGTTTCAAGACATTATTTTTTTCAATAATTAATTATAAACATCGATTTAAGATAAGATAAAGAATGGAAGATTGATTTAATAAACTTGATTAAGATCTTCTCGACGAAAAAAACGATAATTAAAGGAGTCGTTTCATGTTTTTTATTTATTGAAGAATATTTTTGAGATTTGATCGTCGAGGAGATGATTCACCAGATCAATCGCTTTTTACAGTAATATTCATTTCGTTTAATGGAATTGTATAAACTTGAGATTCTATCTATTAGAGAAAAAAAGAAGAATATATTTGATGAATTTCCATCAGAAAAACATTCACTATCATTTGAATATAAAAGGGTCTCGAAGGTTGTTGTTGGAAAGGAGAGAACGATGACTAAAACTCAGTGTTGCTTTAATAGAAATTTTAAGAACGATATTTACCGTTGGTTGATAAGTGACGATGATGGTGTTGATATGTCCTACGTCATTTTCTGTTTGTTCATTTGGTATTTGCTTTCGTTCAACAACAACAGTACTTTCAATCAGAACAGATATTCATCTAAAAATTTAAAAATTAAAAAGATTTTTCTTTGTTTTTCTTCTAACTAAGAATGTTAACATGGACAAAGTGTATAAGCATCAGTAGACAGTCATAAATTTTCTTTCTTTACACTTTCAGCGATCGTTTCGTTGGTTGAAAAAATCCCTTTTCGTTTCTCTAAAAGGGATTCATCTAGTGCGTTTAGATACAATTCACGTTTGCTTATCTGCTAACAAATGATTTGTTACTGCATAATTTTGGTTTTATTCATAATAATATAACAAATGAAACTAGTTCAGAACGAAAATGGTTAAGAGTTGTTTATTCATAATTATAACCTAAAAGTATTTTTACGTTTGTCAAATTTTCATCTAGTACAAGATATAATATTTACGAATTAAAAGCTCGAAAAAAATGTGAAATTAATTATGTAAAATAAAAATCAAAACAATTTATTAAAAGTCATACACAATTTGTTTTTGATCGACATTTTTCAATTGCAAGATTTATTTTTAAATAGATATTATTTGATTTCTCATATAATAATACCTACTCACTGTAGAAAACATAACAGCTTCTCAGAGGAAAGGTCCTTGCTCAACACAAATAAATACCGTTAAAAGACTTGATCATTTTATATGAAACTTATAAAAGTT